GGGGGAAGTGGACCGGCTGCCTTGCCCCTTCCTCTCTCTGTTCCCACCCCCAGAAAACACCTGGCGCGGGCTCAGGGCTCGGGTTGCTCCTGGTGGGGCAGCCGTTGCCAGGCTCTGTGCCGTTGCCGTGGTGACGCGGGTGAAGGTCCCTCCATGGTGACGGTTGCCATGGGGATGGTGCGGCTGCTTCCCTGCCAGCCGAACCTACAGAGACTGCTCTGGGGCCCTCTGGCGGCCATGCGCAGGGCGTCGCAGAAGCAGGGGAGGGTGGAAGGCCATCCCGACGCCTGCGCCTCCACCGCCCCTGTCCCCATCGCGGCTTTTTCCTCCCCCTACAGCGCGAGCGTTTAAAAAACATCGAACGTATCTGCTGCCTCCTGAGGAAGGTCAGTGTCAGGGTTGGGGCAGGAAGCTCCTAGCCCAACTCAGCCCCGCTTTCTGTGACCCTCCTCTGCAGCCTATTTGATCTGCTCTGCTACCTGGGAGGGAGTGGGAGGCTAGAGGCCCTTTCAGTTCCCAGAGGTCATGGCGGGCGGGCAGTTTCCAAAGCCCAGCTCCCCTCCATGCCCTTGAAGCTTGGGTTTGTCCTGGCACCTGGCCACTGACCTCTTACCCTCACTCTCCAGCTGGTGGTCCCAGAATATTCCATCCACGGCCTCTTCTGTCTGATGTTTCTGTGTGCGGCAGAGTGGGTGACCCTGGGCCTCAACATTCCCCTCCTCTTCTACCACCTCTGGAGGTGAGGGAAGCAGCTGCCTCAGGGAGGCTGAGATGGGGAGCAGGGGCAGGAGGGGGTGGGAGCCTGGATGGCGGGCACTCAGGCCCCTCCCTCGCCCCAGGTACTTCCATCGCCCTGCGGATGGCTCTGAGGTCATGTATGATGCAGTCTCCATCATGAACGCTGACATCCTCAACTACTGCCAGAAGGAGTCCTGGTGCAAACTCGCCTTCTACCTGCTCTCCTTCTTCTATTACCTGTACAGGTGAGGCCCTGCCCACAGCAGTCAGAAGTCAGGGAGGGATGCTCCAGGCACCATGCCTTCAATCCCAGGAATGGTTGGGCTCTAAGTTCCTGCCCTTTGCCCTTGAGGACTGAGAGCAACCCAGGGTGTGACAGGGTAGGCAGCCAGTTGCTGGGCCCGCTCAGGACTCGGCTTACTGCCTTGTCTTCCCACAGTATGGTTTATACACTGGTGAGTTTCTAAGGGGGCAGCCGGCCAGGGAGCGAGCCCAGAACGGACCGGACGCCTGTGCACCCCCAGCCCTGCTCCTCGGCCACAGAGGCCTCCGCCCTGGGGAGGGAAGGGGCACTGGTGCCCCCAGCCTCCTCTTCACCCCCCCAAACTGCTGCTGCGGGGACCTCCCGCCTTCAGAGCCCAATCCCCTTGGACTAGGGCTGGGCAGAGCTCTACATAGGGCAGGAGCTCCTCTGCCAGCCTGTGGGCATGGCAGTCAGTCCTGGAAAGGGTAGAACCTCCGGCCTTGTCCATTTCAGGGGGGACCTTGGGCCCTGCCAAGGGGCAGGGCTTGACCCTGGAAGTTCTGGGCCACCTCCCTTGATCCCACTCTGAGGCTCCCCCTGCAGGTGGGGGGGTACCCACACCCAGAATGAGCAGGCTCAGCAGGGGGGCAGTCCCACCCTTAGTCTGCCCTCTCCCCTCCCCCAGACTCCTTCCTGTCCCCACTTGCTCCAACCCCAGCCCACCCTGTCTCTTGGACCTATTTTCTATGTTGCCTGGAGGAGTCCAGCACCCCCTCCCCGGCCATTTGTGACAAATAAGAATAAACTACTGCAAACACATGGGCCCCAATTCTGTTCCTGAAAGGCTTGAAGAGATGGTGCAAAGGGACTGTATAAGGGACAGCCCTGAGCTAAACCTCCAGCACAGCTAGGTTCACCCCAGATAGATCAGAGGCCTTTGAGGTCTCCTTGGCAGCTGCCCCCTTCCATTGTCACTTTCCCAGACACAGACAAATAGCTGTCTTCTGGACAGTCCCAAACCTGTTCCCCGGGACACTGCAGAGGCCCAGAGGTACCAGCAACTCCCCCTCAGGCCCCAGAAACAAGGGTCAAACAAAATCAAAGAAATCAAATCTTCAATGTATGGAAAAGTCAGTGCCAGCAGGGGCCAGGGGTCACCGGACCAGGTGGAAGGTCAGCCAGTATATGATGAGGGGCTGGAAGGCTGCAGCTCCCAGAGTCAGGTAGAGCTGGAGACGCTGCCGAGCGGCCGGAGCCCCCATGCCATCAGGGCCCAGGGCTGCTGTTCGCAAAGAACGTGCCTGGAAGAAAGCAGAGCTGAAGCTGAGTGGAAGAGGGGGTGGGGGGAGGACTCATCCCCAGCTCTGACCTGGGGAAGAGGGGCAGAGGCAGCCTAGACTCACAATGAAGTACATGAGTGCAGACGAAGTCCAGGCGAGTGCCACGTAGTAGCCATCACTGCCGAAGAGCAGCCCTGTGAGCACACTGAGGATCATCCTGCAGGGCCGGGAATGAGGAGAAGGCTGGAGACCCCCCCAAGGCTCCAGGCCTGAGACTGACCCCACCAGCCAGGGCCCAGAGCCCAGCATAGACTCCACCCACCACCACTCAGGACCTTTTACCCCTAGTTTGCCCCCACAGGGACCTAGACTCAGAATGAATCTGGAAGGCCCGAGACTCAGGTCAGGACCTAGATCTGAGGCCTCCTTCACCACCCGAGCTCGAGGTCCTTCTCCCCTGTGTTCCCAGGGTAACTGACTACATTCCCAACCTCCTGAACACTACTACACAGTTCCTGAAGAGACTGCTGGAAACAGCTGGGTCCTCTATAATAGAGGAGATAGAGGCCGAGAGAGGGGCAGAGACACGTGCAGGGTCACTATTCCAGGATATGGCTATGCAGGCCAGGAACCCAGGGCCACAGAGCCCTCCCAAGGCCAGCCTCCCACCTGGCTCCCAGGTGCTCACCCGACATATTTGTAGCCGCTGTAGGCCAGCAGGTGGAAGGTGCTCAGGTCACTACGCACGGTGGCCAGGTAGACGCCCAGGAGCAGGGCTAGCACCTCCAGCACGACCCACACCAGTGCTGTGCTTGCACACAAACCCAGCACCTCTGGGGAGAACCTGTGGCCATGCGGGGGTGGGGCGGGGGAAATTGAGAACCAGCCATCCTGTGGCAGGGGTGAGACTGGGCTGGGAGTGGGTTTGGAACCTGGCACAGATCCCCTAGGATGCTGTGGAGAAGAACAGGAATGGGGAAGAGGTTGGCACTGACCTTTTCTGAATGCCCAGTGCCATCCCAGCCAGCAACACATAGGTGATGAAGGCCATTGCTGCCAAGAGCCAGAGAGATGCCATCAGCCTGGTTTCTTCAACCAGAGCCCCTCCCCAGCTAGGCATGCCAGGCCACTGACACCCCTATCTCCCCCTCATATTTCCTTCCCTGCATATCCCAACCTGGCCAACCTTCACATTCAGCCCCTCAATGCCCTGCCTGGAATGCCTTTCCCAGCTCAGCCCACTCCCCCTATGTAAATGCCAGCTGGTCCTTTTCTCAGGATCACCAAGCCACCTGCTACCCTGTCCCTGGCTAGGAAACTCACCAAAGTTTCCTGCTGCATCTCAGAAACTACATCACTGGTCAAGGCTATTGCTCATCCTAGGCCCACAAGCAGGGGCCAAACTGATCTTAGGAAAGACTATAGGGCCTAAGTGCAGGTTGGGTGGACTACCCAGGCTGTTCCTGGAGTCCAGGCCCTGAAGATCACCTCGCTGCAGCCAGAAATTCTGTCTGGGCATTGGTGCTAGCTACAGCTCTGGCCACCCTGCCAATGCAGAGCGCTTCACGTTTAACTGTTTTCACAAAAGCTCAGAGCCAGTGGGAGCTGGGCTTTCAGAGCTTTAACTCATCAGTCCTGTCCTCTAATCCCTTGAAGCACGGGAACTGATGTGCCCACCAGAGGGCAGTGTCTGGAGTCAAGAAACCAGCTCCACCACCTGTAAGTTGGTGACTTCAAAGATACTCAAATCTGAGCCTTGGCTTCTTCACCATGTAAAATGAGAATGGAGTTCCCAACTTACTCAGTGGTCCTGAGAGGGAAATGGAACGAAGGATGGAAGAAAAACCCATGTCCCTCCTGGGGCACCTGGGCTGGCTAGCTGCCCTCCCGGCAGCTCCTCTGAGGGCTGGCCTGGGCACTCACAGAACAGAGAGGAGTCAGCCACAGCAAAGTGTGGGCAGCCTGACTGTGCCATGTGAACGGGCAGTTTGGGAACTCAGAAGGGAAGGGATGTTTTAGCAGGCCTCGGGGGACAAGTACCAATGGTGATAACAGCTACTATTTACTGCACACTTCCTATGGGCCAGGTGCTGTGCTGAGTGCACGTCACCTCACGGCGTCTCCATAACAATCTTTTGCAGTAGGCACTGCTGTTATTTCTGTTTTACAGAAGAGCGAAAGCCAGCCTGAGGCCCCACAGCTAGAAGGTTCAGGGCCAGGTCTAAATCCAAGGCTCCAGGCTGGAAGGGACACAGTCCAAGTCAGGAGGGAAGAAGGTGTCAGAAGGTGTACCCTGAGGTCACTGAAGGCACACCAAGGAAGCTCCTTACTGGCCACCCTGCTGTCTACCTGGTGTCTAGTGACCACCACACACAAGCACCAAGAGCAGATGCTGAATCAACACATGAACCTCTCCTCATTGGTATCTCAAGTCCCTCCACATCCCGCAGCCCGGTCAAAGACTCACTGGGAATATAGAGGTCAGGGGCGTTGAGGTCTTGTCGCGGGGGCAGAGGGACATCACGATTGTACTGTACTTCCCAATTCTGGCAACGGCATTGGCAGCCAGGTCAGGAGGAAAACACAAGAAGAGAGGAAAGAAGGGGGTTGAGGTTGGAGGCCAGACTCTGGGACAGGATGAGAGGGGCAAGGGGGCCTGCCAGCTCACCTGGTGTGTGTAGGGGAAGACCAGTAGCCCTAGCTTCTTGGCCACATAGGTTGTGTCCACTGCGAAAAAATACTTGAGTTTGTTGACAGACACAAAACGGTGCAGCTAGAGGGGAGAGAGGAGAGGAGAGGAGGCTGTGGGCAAACTGCACCCCGAATCTCTGGGTGCTCTTCTGTGTGCTCCTTCCCTCAGGGCTGCTGTGAGGATTAGGTAGGATCCCTTGATGCCCCAGCCCTGGCCAGAAATCCTGCCACCCTTGCCCTGGGGGAGGGCCACACCTCCTTGTGCACCATGTCCTTCCCTTGGGATGCGATGGAACTGCCATAGGCCATAGCCACGTTGGCCACTGGGTCCCCAAGCAAGTGGTTGACATTGAAGGCCACGTCGACTCCTGGGGCTGGGTATCCCCCTGGCTGGCTGGAGTAACCACCGCTTGTGTCATCGAAGAGGGGAGGGGGATCCGGACCTGCCCGAGCCCTGTGCTTGGAGCCTGTGGGTTTGTAGGTACCAGAGTAGGTGACAGGAATACTAAGCATGAGCCCGAACCATCGTCCCTTCCCCAGGGGTCCTGTTAGACAAGTGCTAGATGTGGGCAAAGAGCGAGCTGAGGCAGTGCCTGGAAGTGGCTGCCCACCTGGGGGTTCCTGGGGGCCTTCTCAAGGGAAGTGATCTCTGAACTGAGCCTTGGAGAGAGAGAAGTTTGCTAGGTGGAGAAGACAACTGCAAGGCCACCCTCAAATGAACAAAAGTGGGAAAGACGACGGCTGGGTACCGGAAGACCCTGGGCAGTGGTCAGGGACCCTACCAGGATCACAGCAGGGAAAGGAAGCTCTGGGGGCGGGCCCCGTTCGTGCCCCGGTCGGGCACGGGGATGCCAGCTGTGCTGTCACTGCCCGATCTCAGCACTGGGCCGAGAGGGCGAAGTCCGGGACACGTTGTCGAGTCGCGCTGGGCAGGAAGCCTAATGACACCCGCCACCCTGGGCAGCGGCCACGGACGCCCCTTTCCCTCAGGGCGAGCGGGCCGCGCCGCCGACCCTCCTCAGGTGGGCCGGGCCGCGCCCCGCCCGCCCCACGCACCGTGAGCTCCGTAGCCTGAGTGATAGGCCATGGCCGCGACGCTCGTTCTCCCGGAGGGCCCGCTGCGCCGCCTCGCGGGTGCGAATGCTAATGAGGCAGCTGCTCCGCTCTCTGGGCACCGACGGAGGTTACAGAGTAGCCGGACACGTCCCCGGGCCGTGCGACCGCAGCCGCCATGTCTGTAGCGTCATCCTGAGCCGCCTGCCATTGGCTCTTCGGTGGCGTCGGCTCGTCCCTTCCCTCTCCCAATTGGCTACTGCCAGTCCGTCGCCGAAGCGGATTCGGTAGCAGTCAACTTCCGGGAGGGGTGACGAGAGGAGCAATTCGAGGCTCTCTCGGATTGGATAGTGGACTTGCGGCTTCGGCTGGAGCAGCCAATAGATGAGTTAACGTAGAAGGGTGCCGAGAATTACTTCCGCGCCTGCGCAGTGGGCACTTGATGCTAGTCTTGCCACGACTACACCCGGCGGGCACCAGGCGTAGACAGGCTGCGGCTGGGGTCCGGGAAGGAAGCCTCACTCCCGGCACGTACTCCAGGAGGGAGTGGGGCGGTGGGGCTATGACCAACCCCCGCCCCGCCGCTCTCAACGCTCGCGTTCCTCCCCTGTGCCCCACACTCCCCCAAGTCCTGGCGTGGAGCCCAGGCTGCCTGGGAGGTGTTGGTAGGAGGCCGGGCCGGCCAGTGACAGCACAGCCTAGCGAGCCCCGGGACGCTGACTCCTCCCGCCTCCCACCCCTTTTTTCCACAGGGTGCTGTCCGTCGTCCGGTGCTGAAATGATCTACTGCCACTGACGCCATCCTGCAGACCCCGGGAGCCTGTTGCTGGAAGGTCCTGGGCCCTCGATCCACACAAACACCATTACACATATTGAAAAAAACTGAGGTCCAGAATCTCTGAGGTCCCAGAGGTTAGATGGTATAGTTGGGACAAGATCCTGACCAGGCCTGTCCCGCGGTCCAGCTGATTTGGGGGTAGAGATGTGCTGATCCACCTCGTGAAGCTGCAGTTGAAACACTTGAGTCATCACCGGCCCTGCGGTCATCTCGAAGTGAGACCCCCAAGCCTCATTCGTGATCCCGGGGGGCCACTTTCTCTCCACCCAGTTCCTGACCACGCTCACTCTCCCCGGAGACAGTCTTCAGGGGCCAATCTTCTCACAGACTTTCAGCCACCGCTTTCTAGAGAGCAAGATCAGGTCCTCTGTGACCTCCCTCTAGTTAGCTACCCAGTGTCCAGTTACACCAGGTGACCTTCCTGCTCTCCCAACTCAACCCACGTGGCCCAGTCTCAGTGCCTTTGCCTCAAAGTCCCCTCCACCTGGGATGCCCTCCCCCTCACATCCACTTGTGCAAAGCTCGCCACCCTTTAAGAGTCTGTCCAACTTGTGCCTCTCAGAGAGACAAAGGGAACAGAGGCCTAACCTGGCTTGGGGTGGAGGCTGAAGGTCAAGTTCTAGGGTCCCTCTGGGTGCACCAGTTTGCCATGGACGCAACTTCCACAAGGACAGGGCCAGTGTCATTCTCCACTCCTACCCTTGTCCTCACAGTGCCAAGACACCTAATAAACATCTGTGCCAATAAATAAATAACAAATGGATCAAGCCCTGGGCCAGTCCTTTCCTCTCTCTACCATTTCAGTTAGCTCATCTTTAAATGGGTAGGGGTATTGAACTGAATGGCCTTTGAGTTGCCCTTTTGGGGGAAAAATCGCAAAACAAAACCCACCAGCATTGCAGCTCTCTATGTCCCACCCACTGTCTAGCTTGGGGGCTAGACCCAGATCCAGGGACAGGTGTGAAGGTCTGAGGCCCCTGAGGGCCAGGGAACAGCACTGGGGCCATGGGTACGGGGGAGGAGTACTCCCATGCAGGACAGGCCCCATCCCCCTATACCGAAGACGAATGTTTGTGCATTGATTGAATCTAGCACCTTTCCATCTCCATTGCTCAGCTGGGAAAACTGAGGTTGTGGATGGCGAGTGCCCACCCAAGGTCAAACAGCCTAGGGCCCTGGGTCTCCTGGCCGCCAGTCTGCCCGCTCTAAGTGGAATCCACAGCCTCCGTCCAGCTAATGAGGCTCTTCGCGTCTGTCTCGGCTGTAACTGCCTCTCCTAGGAGCGAGGCTGCCCGGGTGGGGCCTGGGTGGACCGGGCCTGGGCCTGCGCCTCGGCAGTGCCCACCCACCTTCGAGATTTTCCTTCCTCGCTTTTCAGCGGGGGAAGCGCAGGCCCCAGGGAGCAGCAGACTCGCCCAAGGTCGC